CTCCCTGACACCCCTCCTGCCCCTGATGCCAGCGTTCCTGGCTGGGGATCCCCTGCGGCTCCCCGCCCTGCCCAGCACCCTGCAGAGTCACCTCCGCGTGTGGGTGCCAGTCGTGCAGACGCCCTTCCTGGCACAGCACGGCGAGAAAGCCAAGTGCCCCGGGCACCCCCTGACCTCCGGGGTCTGCTCAGCCCTGCCCTGCGCCCCTGACCTGGCAGTCCCCCAGGTGAAGCCTCGCGGCGGGTGGCCCCTGCCCTGCCCGCTTGCAGGCGGCAGGTCCCGGGCAGGGCTGGAGCGCGGGCATGGGACTGGGCACACCCGGGCCTGGCAGAGGGCGTGCCTCTTCTTCCTGAAGCCAGGGCTGCCTCCCTCTCTGCGCCTATCCGCCAGCCCCGAGTGGAGGGCAGGTAGCCGCAGACACGGGCCCTGACATCAGGGCTGCCCCGCCGTCCTGTGCGGGGAAGGGGGGCGCTGGGGCGCTGGGGCGCTGGGGGGCAAGTCTCTCTCTCTTTGATGCCCCTTCGGCCTTCAGAACCCCTCACCCGGCCCCCAGGAGTGGTGACGAGGGGCTCAATGGCGCCTCCCTTCTCCTTGGCCAGGACAGGTTCCTTGGCCTCTGTTAATAATGACGGCCAAATCCGCACAGTGTCTGCCCTGTGCCTGGCCTGCAGCTGGACACTTGGCCCACATGCTGTGCGGAGCAGCCCCGTTTTGCAGGTGAGGAGATTAAAGCCCAGAGACGTTAAGCGATTTGCCCCAAGTGCACAGCTAGTACACGGTGGGGCTCTGAGTGACTCTCAGCCCCCGGCCTTCACAGCCCCGCGTGTGGATCCATCCCCTCAGGCTCGCGGGGGGCTCCTGGCAGCTCCAGGAGTGTTTGTGGAATGAATAATCCAGCTGCCGCTTACTGAGGGCCGCCTCAACTGCCTCAAGCATTTTTTATTTATTCATTCGATATTAAATTCATCTTTTTAGAAGGATGGTTCAAAATGCAAAGGAGACAAAGGTCTCTCTCTCTCTCTATCTTGTCCCTTAGCCATCAGCCCCTTCCCTGATACCAGTCCCTCACGATTCCCTCCAGAGACTGTTAGTGGGTTTACGCAGATATCAGCGTGCCGACCATGCTGTGAGTCACCTGCCGCTGCATGGCGAGCTTCCCCAAAACCTAACGGCGGGAAACGCCTTTCCGAGGGCCGGGAGTCTGGGAGCAACTGGGCTGGCAGGTTCCGGCTCAGCCTCATGGGGAAGCCGCGGCCGGGGCTGCTGCCACCGCAGGGCTGCTCGTTCTGGGTGGCTCCTCACGAGGCCTGTGGCAGGCGGCCTCAGTGCCTCCGCGCGGCTGTCTCCGCGGCGCTGCTTGAGCGGCCCGAGCGCGTGGCGGCTGGCCGCGCCAGGACGAGCGAGCCAAGAGGGCCAGAGGGCAGCGCAGGACGTTTGTGATGTGGCCTCGGAAGACGCACTTCCGCCACCCCCCAATGGCACGGGCAGCCCCGGTCGCTGCGGGAGAGGGCCACGGTGGGGCACGGGCACCAGGAGGTGAGAGCAGCGTGTCACCTGCAGGCTGTGGTCCACGCTCACTGCCCTGCGCCTGGCAGTTTCTCTGCACAGCAGTGTCCGGGCTGGCTCTGCACCCGCGTACACGGAGTGGCCTGTGTGCGAGCCACGGCGTCTTACCCGGTCTCTGCTGGTGGCCCTTCGGGTCACTCCTGGTCAGTCGCTATGACAATCCCGCTGCCATGCCTGTCTTTGCAAAGGCTGGTCTCCAATATCGGGCGGAGTTTCACTCAGGAGAGGGATGGCTGAGTCAACGCGGGTGGTGTGTGTGTGTGTGTGTGTAGTGTGTGTGGCGGTGGTGTGTGTGTGTAGTGTGTCATGGGCTGCTGTCCTGCAGGGCAGAGGGGACGTGTCACGGGCCATTGTCCCCTCTGCACTGCGGGACAGGGCCTGTGACACGTCCCCTCTGCGCTGCAGGACAGGGACTATGACATGTCCCCTCTGCACTGCGGGACAGGGCCTGTGACACGTTCCCTCTGCACTGCAGGACAGAGACTATGACATGTCCCCTCTGCGCTGCAGGACAGGGACTATGACATGTCCCCTCTGCACTGCAGGACAGGACAGGGACTATGACATGTCCCCTCTGCACTGCGGGACAGGGCCTGTGACACGTTCCCTCTGCACTGCAGGACAGAGACTATGACATGTCCCCTCTGCGCTGCAGGACAGGGACTATGACATGTCCCCTCTGCACTGCAGGACAGGACCTGTTACACGTCCCCTCTGCACTGCAGGACAGGGACTATGACATGTCCCCTCTGCACTGCGGGACAGGGAACTGTGACACGTCTCCTCTGCACTGCAGGACAGGGCCTGTGACACGTCCCCTCTGCGCTGCCGACATACTGACACTGAGCAGGGCAGGGAACTGTGACACGATCCCTTCCTGCACATGCAGGACAAGGGCCTGTGACACGTCCCACGATCTGCAGGACCTGCAGGAACAGGGAACTGATGACAACGTCGCACTCTGCCACATAGCAGAAGACAGGAGCCTGAAATGACACAGTACCCTCTGAACACTGCAGGACAGGGAACTGTGAGCACGTCCCGCTCTGCCACTGCAGGACGAGGGCCTGTGACACGTTCCCTCAATGCCAACTGCAGGAACAAGGGGACTAGTGACACGTCCCCTACTGACACTGCGGGAACAGAGGAACTGTTGAGCAAGCAGATCACCCATCATGCAGACTGACGGACAGGAGAACTGCGACACGTCCCCCTGCACTGCGGGACAGGGAACTCATGACACGTCCCATCCTGCACCAGCGGACAGCGAACTGTAGGAACACGATAACCACTCTGGCACCGAGCGGACAGGGGAACTGATGGACACGTCCACCATCTGCAACCG